CTTCCTTTCTTCCTTTTTCTTTCTTTCTTTCTTTCTTTCTTTCTTTCTTTCTTTCTTTCTTTCTTTCTTTCTTTTTTTCTTTCATTTTAGTTTTAAAAGAGAATACAAAATAATAATAAATCAGAAATGATACAGAATTTCACTAAACAAAATAATATGAATTTGACACTATTTTGTTGTATTGCATAGTGTTGTCTTCAACTTAGTTGTTTAGATTGCCAGGTCTATTCATGCAACATTGGAAAAAGAAGAGAAAAGTTGTAAGAATTTAACAAGAGAGAGAGAGGGAGGAAAAAAGAAAAAAAAAGCGTTACCTGTTCCTTTCCATAGACCAGCAGAAATTCACAGAACAATTATCCAAACCATCCTGCATATATACATAGATATATCTGCCTCCTTCCTGTCCTTTTCCTCATCTTAGTATTTCCTTCCTTTTGAACAGATTCATTCCCTTTTCACAGTGTTTATTGTTGCTTTCAGATTTTTTTTTAAACTCTTTTAGGTTCTTACATGAGTGAGACAGTATGATGTTTGTATATGTGGATCTGATTTATTTCACCTATGAGTGTGGTCTCTAGTTGCATCCATTTACCAACAAAAGCCTCAAATTTATCCTTTTTTATAGCTGACTAGTACTCCATTGTGTAAAAATACCATAGCTGATGTGCTTTCTGGTCTGCAAGCTTCATGCATGTGGAATTGTAACATATGTGGCTCTTTGTAACAGGTGCTATCCCTTGGCACTCTGATGTGCAGAGCTCAGCAGAGTTGCAGCATGGACTGGAACTGAACTCCTTGTTTTGCTGAATGATATTTTGTTGCATGTCACAGGAAAGACTGGACCTTCCTGTCTCTTGTGTGTTAGGCTTGGGTGACAGCTGGATCGCAGACCCCTTAATTCAGAGTCCCTGCATAGCGTGGAGTGCTGGGTGCATGCTGGTCACTCCTGCATACTAGTTGGTGCTTAACATGTCCTCTTAGCATCAATGTGAGTAATAGTTTGTGATGAAGTCCGTGTCTGTTATTCAACTTGATTCTCGTAAGAACTTTGTGAATTAACTAAATAAAAATCATTACATTTGGAAATTATAGGGGTGCTTTTAACTTTATGGCAAGTGATTGATATACTATGGAGAAAGGTAAACTAGATTACTCAAAGAACATGTGTTAAACCAGTACTCCTAAAAATTGTACTGGAAACTGCTATTTAAGGATATATATATATTTTGTGAGATATTTACTTCTTTAGTTCTTAACTAGTTACAAAAAGACATCTAAGTTAATGTTTTATATATCTTATATTAAAAGAAAGTTCTTTTTTTTTTTAGCAAATGGCAGAAAGTAAATTTGATTTTTGAGGGAGTTGATACAGTAGCAGAAATCTTCTTCAATAATGTCTCCATTGGAAAAACAGACAACATGTTCCGCAGATATGTAAGTACACAATAACACTGGGTCAAAGCCCAGTCATGTGTGTTATTTCTGTGCACATAGAAAGGCCTCTGTGTAGCTGGTCCTTGACAGCTATGCGCTCTTGGGAGCACTGGTTGGATAAGTTCTTGTATTTCTCAGGGGCCACGTTTGAAGGATGATGAAAACTTTACCAGTCCTAAGGGGGGTATTGTGGGGATTTGATAAGTGAATTTGAAGACTGGTTGGCAAGTGCTTGGCACATAGAGAATATTTTGTATAGTACTGTTCTCTCTGTTGTCTGGGGATACAGATTTTCAGGAGAAATGATAATTGACAAATGATTATTCAAAGAAAATATTTTCTTTTTGGGAAATTCCACTAGGATGCTGTGTACTGATATCCCTTTCCTTCCAAAGGTAGCCTTTTCAAAACAGCAATAGCTTATGACTTGGGGACCCATGCTGTGCATTCCAGGACTCAGACTTGCTAGCAGGTGTCTTCGAAACCTTGATGCCTAAAGGCTGAATGCAAACAGCTGGAGCAGACTCTCCAGGTTGGAGATTTTCTGCTGTTGCCCTGCCCCAACATCCCATCAATAAAAACTGGAGGAACCTAGACACTTGCATGGGCTGGAGAACAGCCTTAGTGAGAATGGAAAGTGGGCAATTGCTTTGTACTGTTTTTGGAGAGGTGCTGTCTGCCAAGGAAGCCAAAGATTTGAATCTGTTTTATGCATCTGCCATGTGTTCTGTCTTAGCGTAAGTTTTTACCTGCTCTCTCTTTGCTGCAGAGCTTTGACATCACCAGTGTGGCCAGAGATGTGAACTCTTTGGAGCTGCGCTTCCAGTCGGCTGTGCTGTATGCGGCACAGGAAAGCAGAGCCCACAGAGGGCTCCCAGTGCCCCCTGCCTGCCCCCCGCCCCAGCAGAATGGCGAGTGCCATGTCAACTTTATCCGAAAGGTAGTACTCTCAGGTGTCAGGGCCTTCTGTCTGAGGATGCGATGTGTAGTGTAGAAAATCTCTTTGAAGACTCACCTTGCCACTTCAGAAGTTGGAATCTTTTTCCAGACCCCATAATGGGGCTCAAGAGGCCAGCCATGGTGGCACACTCCTGTAGTCCCAGAACTCAGGAGGCTGAGGTAGGCAGATTGCCAAGAGCCTGAAGTATACAGTGAGAACCTATAAAAAAAAAAAAAAAAAAAAAATCGAAAGAGAACCAAAAGGATTATCTGACTTTTTGTGGGCACTATACATCTTTTTAGATCTTCTCCCTAAGGCATGTTTTAGAACTTAGATCACATCAGAAAAAGAAGAAAAAAAATATGTGGGTGACTTTACAGATTAAATTTTAACATAATGGATTTGTCACACTTATCACCAGCTGTGAGGATATGTTGGTAATTCTTAGGACCGGGTAGGTAGTCTTTTGCAAAGAGAGTATTTTTTTTTTTTGGAACTGGGGATTGAACTCAGGCCCTTGCACTTGCCAGGCAAGCACTTATTCTACTGAGCTATCTCCCCGGCCCAAAGAGAGTAGTTTTGCTGATGCAATCTTGTATGTGACTGCTAGGTTCTCATAAAACTAACAAAAAGTAAGAAAATCATGCAAGTAGTTATTTTTCCTGGAGTTATTTTCCTGTATAGAGGACTTGAAGTTATGGTAGTGCATGGCTGTGTTAGTATTCCAGGAGGCCTTAGGGTTTTCTTTCTCCCCCTGTGGTGCTGGGGTTGAATGGAGAGCTTTGCTGGGGCTAAGCAAGCACTCTGCTACCCCTCAGTCCCTTTCACTTTTGAAGCAGAATCCCACTAAGCTGCCCAGGCTGACCTCTAACTTGGGGTTCTCCTGCCTCAGACTCCCAGTAGCTGGGTTTAGAGGCATGTGCTGCTGGTCTTGACATTTTGTTTTAGGAAAAAAAATGTTCCTTTCCTTTACCAACCTTTAGACCCTTCCACCTCCTCTATATTGATACAAGTCCTCTCTGTCTTTGCTTCCTTCTTGGCCCCACCTAGATGGGGCCCTCTTACCAGAGCTTAACAGCACCCTTGTGCTCCTCCACCCAATTCTGAAGGGGACAACACCTCCATTATTATGTTCTAAGGCATCAGTTGTGAACCTTTTAGAGATGAGTACCTAAACTGCAACCCCAAACCCACTTATTTATCACAAAACACCAACACTGCATTTAAATTTGAATAATGAGGTTTTTAGTTTTGAAGAAACAACTTTTTTTTCCCCCTGAGACAGGGTCTCATTTCATAATTCAGGCTGACCTTGAACTCACCATGTAGTCCAGCTGGCCTCAAACTTGCAGCAGTCTTCCTGCCTCAGACTACCAACTGCTGAGATTACAAGTGTGTAACACCATGCCTGCCAAAAACCAACTCATATATTAATGTCTTTTGTCTTAAAAGAAAAATAACACATGTACCATAGGTTGTCTGGAAGTGACTGTCTAGGCATTACCCCCAAGGAAGGGTACTACATAAGAGCATGGGCACTAGAGGGAGATAATTATGGGCTACCAGAAGGCTGTACACAATGTGGACACACACAAGTATGGGCTGAATTATGTCCCCACAGTTCCTACACTGAACTCCTAATCCCTGTGCTCCAGGACATCCTGTATTTGGCAATAGTCTTTAAGGAGGTGATGAGGTCAAGTGAAGAGGTTTGGCTGGGTGGAATCGTGGATGACTGGGGCGTGGCTTTGGACAACACAGAGAGCCCAGGGATGCCTGAGCACAGTACATAATGAGAAGGGCCTTCTGCAGGCCAAGCAGGGACACAGAAGAGGCCACACAGCCTGTTCTTGGACCATGTGGCTGCTGGAACCCAGAGGCCAGGAATTGCTTTGGCAAAGCCACTGGCTCTAGTGTTTGCTACAGCAGCTTAGCAGACTGATGTACTCGTGTAGCATTCAGGAGTCAGTGTCTCATGTGCGCAGCAGTGCATTCAGCACCGTTCTCTCTCTCTCTCTCTCTCTCTCTCTCTCTCTCTCTCTCTCTCTCTCTCTCTCTCTCTCGGCAGGAGCAGTGTTCCTTCAGCTGGGACTGGGGCCCCTCTTTCCCCACCCAGGGCATCTGGAGAGATGTCAGCATTGAAGCCTTTGACATTTGCTGTCTGAGCCACTTCACTTTCTTCCCCATCTATGGTAAGCTGAGCCCAGTGCCTCCAGCTTTTCTTTTTGAGTTTCCTCCTTGTGAAGAAATGGGGTGATATTTGAAAGTAGAGGAATATTTTTCAGAGATGTAATGGACATGGATTGTGATCTGTGATGAGAACTCACAATATAAAGCAGGTAAGTAGGCAAATAGTGGTAGCATATTAACAAGGAAGGAAGGGAGAGAGGGAGGCAGAGGTGGAGGGAAGGCATTTCCCAAGCTTCCCGGGCTGAGAATTCATTCTTGAAAGCTTTGGGCATGTGGTGGTCCTTGGTCTGCTCCAGTTCAGGCTCCGACTTTCCCTCCTTCCTGTTGTCTCTGTGACTACAGTGCCTCTCAGGTGCAAATGAACCGGAGAGGAAGGCACAAAGTCTAGCAAAGTGAAGCATGCTGCTTTTTCAGCTGTAGAAGGTATTTGCTGTCAAGGAATACTGAAATGAAACCTCAGAAATGACACAGACAGCAGTCAATCCCTTACAGTCTGGACAGGTGTTTGCTGAGTTCTCTGTTCATCATGGACCACTTTGGCACAGACCAGAAGAGGAGTGCATATAGTCACTGCTCAGTGTGCTGCACAGGGCGTGGGGTGGGAGGTGATAGGAATGGTGCCCAAGATTGCTGTGGTCTTCCATGGTGAAGTCACAGCAGCTCAGAATGAAGCTCTGAGTAGGGAAGGTTGGGGGAGCAGGAAAACCTGAGAGGAAGGTAGAGGCAAGGGTGATGGTGAGCAATGGCTGGGCACTTAGGTGATTGCTTACCTTGATAGGTCAGTGGGAGGGGCCACCGCCATCCTGAGGTCTGGTGACCCTAGGCCAACCTAAGGCAGAAATCAGAGCACTAAGAGAGGACTGGTGATGGAAGAACTTCTCTAGTGCCACCAGTGCTTCTGAAGGTTAGAAAAGTGATAAGGGATCCAAGGTCAATTGCACATGTAAGAATGTCTCATTCAGTGTGTCTCATACTGTCCATCCTGTAATTCAGAGGGAGGGTTTTCAGATCAGGTAAGAGTTGGTTCTCTCTATTCCCCAGTCGTACCCCTCTGTGTTCTCAGGTGTAAGTCTGTAGGTTGAGTATTCCTAACCCAAAAACCCTAAATCTGAAGTGCTCCAAAATCCAAAACTTTCCGAGGGCCAACATGATGTCACATGCGATGAAACTTTAAAAACACTATGTAGATTGTATAGATTTACCTCTAGGCTGCATGTAGAGTATATACATGAAACAAAGGAATTTTGTGCTTAGGCTTGGGACTCCTCCATAACATATTTCACTATGTGTTTGCCAATATTGTAGAATCCAAAAAAGAAAAATTGGAGTCCAAATGACTTTCAATCTCAAATCCTTGGATAAGGATATTCAACCTGTAACAGCCTAGTGGAAGAAAAGCTTTGGACTCAGTAAAAACCTCCTTATTTAATTGTTCTGAAGCTGTTTTTAAAGATGTGTTGCAAAAAGTGCTACCTGAGAAAAAATTTGAATATCGCTGTTTTAGGTTAATTAAAAAAATTAAAGTTTTAGTTTATTTAACTTTTTGTTTTATTTATTTATTTTTGGAACTAGGGATTGAACTCAGACCCTTGCACTTGCCAAGGAAGCACTTATTCCACTGAACCATCTCTCTGGCCCCTTAACTTTTTATTTTAAAGAAAAAAAAAATAAAACAAGGGACCTGAGGCCATTTGTCCAAGTGACTGTACCCAGGGCAAAGGGCCATGATCAGACATTTCAGGGACTACTGGACACTGATCCTGAACTGACAGTGAGTCCAAGGGATCCAAAACACCTCTGTGGCCTTCCATAAGAGCAGGGGCCTATGGAGGTCAGGTGATTGATGGAGTTTTAGCAAAGGTTGGACTCACAGTGGGTCCAATAAGTCCTCAAATACATCCTGTAGTCATTTCACCTATTCCTGAATGTATAATTGGAATAGATATACTTAGTACTTGGTAGAATCCTCACATTGTTTCTCTGACCTGTCATGTAAGGGCTGCTATGGTTATGAAGGCCAAATGGAAGCCATGAGAGTTGCCTTTGTGTGGTACAATAGTTAACCAAAATCAGTATTGTTTTCCTGGAGGGATTCCAAGATTAGTTCCACCATCAAGGACTTCAATGATGCAGGGGTGGTGGCCACCACCACATCTCCATTTAATTCTCCCATTTGGCCTGTGCGGAAGACAGATGGGTCTTGAAGAATGATGATAGATTACGGTGAACTGAATCAAATGGTGACTTCAGTTGTAGCTACAGTATCAGCTATGGTTTCCTTGCTTGAGCAGTTTTAACACATCTTCTGTAGTTGGTATGCAGCTATTGACTTGGCAAATGCCTTCTCTCCATACCTATCCATAAAGATGATCAGAAACAATCTGCTTTCAGTTGGCAAGCCTAGAAATATGCCTTCACTTTCTTACCTCAGGGATATATTAACTCATCAGCCCTGTGTCACAACTTAATTCATAGGGATCTTGATTGTCTTTCTCTCCCACAAGATACCATACTGGTCCACTACGTTGATGATGTTATGCTGATTGGGCCTAGTGAGCGTGAGCTGGCAACCACTTTAGATTTGTTAGTACAACATTTAAGAGCCAAAGGATGGGAAGTAAATCCAACAAAACTTCAAGGTTCTTCTACCTCAGTGAAGTGTCTAGGAGTCCAGGGGTATGGAGTGTGTGGAGATATTCCTTGTAAGGTAAAAGATAAGTTGTGCATCTGGCTTCCCTTACATCCAAAAGAGAAGAACAATGCCTATTTGGGCTATTTGGATTTTGGAGGCAACACATTTCTCACTTAAGTGTCTTACTTTGTCCTATTTACCCAGTGACTTGGAAAGCTGCTAGTTTTGAGTGGGCACAGAACAAGAAAAGGCTCTGCAACAGGTCTAGGCTCTGTTCAGGCTTTCATCAGATTGATATAAAGACCATATATTCCAATTTTCTATAGGCTTTTTACCATAATTGGGCATTGGACTTTGACATAAGCTTTTTCTGCATCTATTGAGATGATCATATGATTTTTGTGCTTGTCTCTGTTAATATGGTGTATTATGGGCTGGGGAGATGGTTCAGTAGAATAAGCACTTGCCTGGCAAGCACAAGGGCCTGAGTTCAATCCCTGGTTCTGCCTAAAAACCTATGGTGTATTATATTTATTGATTGACATATGTTAAACCATCCTTGCATTCCTAGGATAAATCCAACTTGGTCATAGTGTATAATGTTCTTGATGATTTGCTGCATTCCATTTACCAGTATCCGTTGAGGATTTTTGCATCTATGTTTTCTTTTTCTTTTTCTTTTTTTTTTTCAGAACTGGGGATTGAACTCAGACCCTTGCGCTTGCCAGGCAAGCACTTATTCTCCTGAGCCATCTCCCTGACCCCTGCAACTATGTTCATAAGGGAGATTGGCCTGTAATTTTTTTTCTTAGTTGGGTCCTTCACTTTTTTTTTTTTTTTTTTTTTTTTTGGAACTGGAGATTGAACTCAGATCCTTGCATTTGCCAGTCAAGCACTTATCCTACTAAGCCATCTCCCCAGCCCCGGTCCTTCACTTTTGATACCAGGTTAATACTTGCTTCCAGGAATGAATTTGGGAGTATTGCTTCCCTTTCAATTTCATGAAAGAGTTTGAGAAGTAGTGATGTTAGGTCTTATTTAAATTTCTTTTAGAATTCAGCACTCAACCTGTCAGGACCTGGGCTTTTCACTGTTGAGAGGTTTTTAATTAAGTCTTCAATTTCACTAATTGATATTGGTTTATTTAGATTTTTATATCTTTTTGATTCAATTTTGGTAAATCATGTATTTAGGAATCTGTCAATTTCTTTTGCATTTTCCATTTTATTAGAATACAAGTCTTCAAAGTAGGTGTAGTTGATCTTCTGGATTTTTGCAGGGTCAATTGTGATTTCACCCTTTTTATTCCCAGTTGCAGGGATTTGAGTTCATTCGTTCGTCCGTCCTTCCTTCCTTTTATTTTTATTTATTTATTTATTGATAAGGTTGGATAAGAGTTTGTCAATTTTACTTAATCTTTCTTTCTTTCTTTCTTTCTTTCTTTCTTTCTTTCTTTCTTTCTTTCTTTCTTTCTTTCTTTTTTTGGTGGAACTGGGGATTGAACTCAGGCTCTTGCACTTGCCTGGGAAGCACTTATTCCACGGAGCCATCTCCCTGGCCCCAACTTAATCTTTCAATGAACCAACTCCTATTCATTGATACTTCATATTGTTTTTCTACTTTTTAATGCTATAATTTCAGCTCTGATCTTTATAATTTCCTTTTTTATGAGCTTTTGGCTTAGTCTACTCTTCTTTTTCTAGAAGTTTGTGTTTCACCAGTAAGTTGTTTATTTGTACTTGCTCTGTTTTCCTGATAGGGGTATTCACTGCTATAAGTTTTCCTCTGAGGACTGCTTTGTGTCCAATAAGTTCTAGTATGTTGTATTGTCATTATCATTCAATTAGAGAAATTGTTTAATTTTTCTTTAATTTCATCTGTGATCCATTGGTTGTTCAGAAGGACACTATTTAATTTCCATGTATTTATGAAGTTCTTATGGTTTCTTTTGCTAGTGATTTCCAATTTCATTGCTCATGGTCTGAAATATGCATGGGATAATTTCAGTTCCTTTGCATTTATGCAAGCATGTTCTGTGAGCTAGTATGTGATCTATTTTTGAAAATTTCCCATGTGCAGTTGAGAAGAATGTGTATTCTGATGTTGTGGGGTGGGACATTCTATACATATGTACTAGTCCACTTGTTCAAAAGTTTGTTTCAGTTCTAATATTTCATTGTTGATTTTTTTCTTGTAGTTGATCTGTCTTTTTGTAATAATGGGGTAGGTGGTGGCTCCATAGCTGAGGGGTTAGAGCACTGGTCTTGTAATAATGGGGTATTGAGATCATCCAATATAATTGTATTAGTGCTTATTTGATTTTTCATGTTCATTAATATTTGTTTTATATAGTGGGGCACACTGGTATTTGTTGCATATACATTTATGACTGTTATCTAGTCCTCTTGAATTGTGCCCTTTACAAGGATACAGTGACCCTTTTACTTCTCTTAATCAGTCTTGCCTTGAAATTCACTTTGTCTGCAAATAGAATAGCTACCTCAGCTTTTTTCTGGGTTTCTGTAGCATGGATTATGGTTTTTTATCCTTTCACTTTCAGTCTGTGAGTTTCTTTTTGAATTAAATGTGTTTCTTATATGCAGCAAATTGTTGGCTCTTGCTTCTTGATCCATTCTGCCAATCTGTGTCTATTGATTGGTGAATTGAGGTCATTAACATTGATGGTTATAACTGATATGTATTGACTTATCCTTGTTGTATTATTTTCCTGTTGTGGGCTTCCTTACTTTTTGCCCCTCTTCTGTTTCATCGTTTACCTTGCCTGGGAGATTCCTTCAGTTGAAGTTCATGCTGCTGTAGTCCTTGTTTTCTCTTTCTAAACATTTTGGAGTGGTGGTCTGGTGGTCATAAATTTCCTCAGCTGATCTCTGTCATGGAAAGAACTTATTTCTCTGTCTTCTTTGAAATACAGTTTTGTGGAATACATCACTCTGGGTTGAAGGTTGTCTTTCTTTGGAATTTGAAATATTTCATTTCAAGCTCTCCTCGACTTGCGGGTTTGTGCAGAGAAGTTAGTTGTGATTCTGATGGGCTTTCCTTTATAAGTAATTTGTTTCTTTTCCTTACCAGCTTTTAAGATTCTGCTCTTGTGTTGAAGTTCTGGAATCTTGACTATGATCTGCCTGGTTAACGGGAGTTCTATATGCCTCACTTATCATATCAACTTTTTTTTTTTCTACCAGTTTTCTGTCATGACCTCTATAAATATTTTTGTTTAACATCATTTGTGCTATCACATGCTTTTTCATTGACTCTGGCCAATCTTAAGTTCTTCTTCTTTGTCTCATCTGACAGCTGCTGGGTTGATTTCTCATGATCTCTTGCTATTTTTAAGTACTTTTTCTTTTAATGATCACTAACCACGAGTTTGTCTTCTATGTCTGAGATCCTGTCCTCACATTGGTTTAATCTTCTATGGATACTTTCAATGGAATTTTTATTATTTTATTTTTAAAAATTTTTATTTATTTTACGGAACTGAGGGTTGAACTTAGGCCCTTGCATTTGCCAGGCAAGTGCTTATTCTACTGAGTCACCTCCCCAGTCCCTCCTCAATGGAATTTTTATTCTCCTGGATATCTGCTGGAATCTGCATTATTGATTCCATTTCTTTCCTTTTTTGCGGAACTGGGAATTGAACTCAGGCCCTTGCACTTGCCAGGGAAGTGCTGATTCCACTGAACCGTCTCTCCAGCCCCTCTGTTTCTTTCCTATGCTGAGCATTTATGGCTTCCAGCATTTTCACAGGTGCCTTTGTTTCTTTTTGTCAGTATCTGCTATAGAGAAACTAAGCATGGTTTTCATTGTGAATACCATCTCTGCAGTTATCAGAGATATTGCTTCTGACTTTATGTTTTTGAGAGCCTCATTCAATTGCTTTGTTGTTACCACCTCAGAGAGGCCAGATAGGTGGCTTTCAGATTGTCCCACCTCACTCTCTCCTGTGTTTGCCTTTGGTAAAGTGGATGTCTAGGTTTGCATCTTGTTTGAATATTTTCTCATTTTCTTTTTTTTAGTTTAATCCTTGGGGTGTTGCTTGTAAATTGCCTTTGGTGGGTTACTTTATTGCTAGTCTAAGAACACTTAGACTGCTTCAGTGAGATAGCTTCCAGGTATAACTAGGTTTTGCATTTTGAGTGTGTTGCAAGATCCTACATCTTTAATATGTTGGGGATGAGAAGTTGCTGCCTGTTTGTTTTAGCCCCTGGTTCTCTGGCACTGTGCCATGGTATTTTCTACGATGCTTAGGGAGTCTCCTGCTTAGGGAGTCTCCATCCTGGAATACCAGTAAGAGTAGCTGTTTAAAACAATTATGTTACGTTTGGCTAAAGTGGTACCATCAGCAATAACAGTGGCAATAATCACAGCCTAGAAATTGACACATTGAGGTAACCATTAATTTGTCACCTTGAACTAGATTTTAGTTACACAACAAAATATAAAGCAGACTAAAAAATTATATGCAATATGTAAGTCCTTAATATGTCAATTTTGTCCTCAGGGGTTAAAATTTGAAAAGGGCTAGGGAAAAAATAGGCAGAAGAAGAGGTGGTGATTAGAAGTGAGGCTGGAGGTCGAAATGGGATCATGGTTGTGAAGACTGGAGAGGGAGAGAGAAGGAAGTTATAAAGTGGGACAGAGCAGAGCAGCAACCACACAGAGGCTAGAAACCACATTCACACGCATAGAAACAAGATCCAACAGTGAAGGAGAAAAATCCAAAAGCAAAAGCAAAAGCAAAATCTCCATTATCACAACAAAAAACAAAAGAGAGAGGGGGCGATACAAAAAAAGTCTACTGCCAAGTTTTTCTCTGCTGTCACTGGTAGACAACTTGTAGAGACAGAGTCCCAGTCCATGCTGGTCTGTCCCAGCAAGCCAGCAAGCTTTTTGGTGGGATAGTGCAGAATCTCAGCGAGCCTGTGCCCTCCGGCCTGAGCCCAGCCTGGAGCCGCTAGATGGAGCCCCAGCCGCCCTGACTCCCGAGCTCAGCCAAGGTGGCTCCTAGCCAATCACTGTCTCCTGTGGGACTACCGAGCTCTCAGCACTCACCGCCAGCCAGTGCAGTACTGCATGTCTGCCGCTCCCCTCCACGGCTGTGTCTCTGTGAAGGCCCCTGGGGCTGCCAACAGTCACTGTGCATTTGCAGGCTTGATTTGTTCCTCTTGCACAGTGAAGCCCACCTTGGAGAAGGCGCTGCCAGCTACCTCTTTCCTCTTTGTTGAAATTTCTCTCTTCAGTCTCCCCATGGGCTTCAACTCATGCTTCAGATCCTTCCTGGGCCTAGAGAACCCACTTCCTTCCCCCTTGTCTTCCTCACATTGTTATATTCCAGTGTCTGGACAGTGACACTCAGGCTCTTTCCCTGCTGCGTAGTGCTCCGCCATCTGGGTGCCTCTGAGGTCAATTTAAAATTTTAAATGTGAAGTAAACATTTTTTTCCTATATACATTTATTAGATAAGAGTTTTGTCTCTCAGAACTAAGTGAAATGTATTGGAATTAATTCATTCTATATGATGCTTAAAATCCAGCTTGAGTTCAGTGTAATCACCTCATATCAGCTACAGTTTTGGTTTTATGATTACAAAGTAGCATATATTTTATGTAGAGAAAATCCATCTCCTGGTCAGGAGCTGAGCTTTGTGGACGCTAAGCACTAATTCTCATATTTCTGATTGATTTTATAGCTATCCATTTGGTTATTTGGTAGAAGAAGGAAAATAGAATCATAACTTCATGAAAAAATTGAAGAAACTATTCTTTGTGTTTTCAGTATTTTTCAGTTGGGGTGAGAAGGGGCTGTCTTGGTGTCATTGGGAAGGATGGACTCTGGAGAGGATTTTGAACAACGCTGCACTGCTTTTGTCTTTGAAGTTATTACTCATTGTCGCTCTTTGAAATTGCCTTACATCTCCTGTGGCGGGGAGGGCCTGTAGGTGTTCTGCAGGAAACGGAGATGTGAGGTTTCCAGGAGATACTTGGTAGGAAGTTGTGTCCTAGATTTGAGTCCTAATTTACAAGATAGGCTTTCCTAGATTAGAAGTGGAATTACACAGTTACAAGTAAAAGCAAGTGCCTCATAATATCCGGAAAATTACTGGTTAACTAAGACTTTGTAAACTTTACTCCTTATTTTCTCATGTGCAAATCTATTTAAAATAGGTAATTTAGATTATCATTTAGAATAAAGCTTAAACTTTCTAGATTAAACTCACAATTCTACAGGACTTTATATCGGAGAACACTCACTGGTTTAGAAGTGACTTAGGCCTTCTCCCTGCTGAACCCCAAGTACTGCAGGGATGATTTTCCTTTTCTCTTTATGCTTTAGATAACACTGCCCAGGTGTGGAGTGTTGAAATAGAGTCTGCTTTTGACGTTGTCAGCTCAAAGCCAGTTGGTGGTCAGGCAGTCGTCGCCATCCCCACACTGCAGACACGGCAAACGTTCCGCTTGGAGCTCCAGCCCGGGGAAAGCGTTGTTGAACTCTCTGTGAGAATTAACAAGGTGAGTGCCAGGACTTCCTGAGGTACAGGAGGAAAGTCACACCTGTTCAAAAGAAAGGGGTAGAAGGAAGGGATGGAGTATGGAAGAAAAGCTGCTTTCTGCATTTCCTTCTCTTTTCTATTTATAACTTCTCATATAGTTTGTGTCAGTCTGGGCTAAGGAAGGATTTTCCCAATTTGGGGAAGGGGATGAGATAGTCTCACTACGTAGTTAAGGCTGGCCTTGAACTTACTATGTAACTGAGGGTTGCCTTAAACTCATGGTGATCCCCCTGCCTCAGCCTCCTGAGTGCTGGGATTACAGGAGTGTAATCACCATGCCTGATGTGATTTTTCCCAAATGTTCAGCATAAGAAAATAGAGAAAATGTGATTAATTTGTGTTTCTTTTTTTTCTTTCTTTCTATTTTTTTTTTTTTTTTGCGGAACCAGGAATTGAACTCAGGCCCTTGTGCTTGTCAGGGAAGCGCTTATTCCACTGAGCCATCTCCCTGGCCCAAAATGTGATTAATTTGGAAACCTTTTTTCTCAAGAGGTTGGTAATATTCTATTTTTTTTTTTTTCTGTTGTACTTGTGCTATCCTAAATCCAGTATACAGACTACGCATTATATTTAAGTACAATGATTATTTTTGCTACTGGTCAGTTGTTTAGAGGATTGATGATGTTACCTGAATTTCCTGGAGAAATGTAGAAATGTTTACCTGCAGATGGGGCAAGGCACTGGTCCAGAGAATGACTTGGCCAGGACTGTTCAGCAAGTAGTTGTCTGTCGGTGACTTAGGGAGCAGTGCACAACTGAAGTTGCTAACTCCTCAGCAGTAAACTGTTGAGGGGCCGGGGAGATGGCTCAGTAGAATAAGTGCTTGCCTGGCAAGCACAAGGGCCTGAGTTCAATCCCCAGTTCCGCAAACAAACAAACAAACAAACAAACAAAAAACTGTTGATTTTCTAGGGCACTGATTAAAATAGTAGAAGCAGGATCAGAAACAGGATGGGTCTTGGGAGAGGTTGTGTTCTCTGCTTCTGTCCTGTGTTTATCAGGAACTCTGCCTATCCTGCTAGCACTGTTGTGTGGTGCCAGGTGACTTGTGCTACAGTCTGGAACTCAGACTCACCCCTGGCAGGGCTGGGGTGACAGGGTGACCTTGGTGCTCAGGGGACAGGTCCTACAGGAGGTGCATTCTCTCCATGTGTATTATGATTCCAAACTCCTGAGCTTTTATGGGGAGAGGGGGGAGGGTTTACTCCCCAACCTTTTTTCCCTAACTCTAGCCCCTAGCCTCTAGTCTCTAAACTTTAACCCCTAACCCTAGCCCTTAAATCCTAACCCAGAGCCCTACCCCCAATCCCTAATCCCTAACCCCTAATCCCAATCATAACCCTAGCTCTATCCCACACTCTAGCCTCTAACCCCTGACCCTAACCCTTTCACCCTTTTCTATTCCTTTGATTGATAATTGTGAACTGAGATAGATAGTGGGGGTTGGATAACCGTCAGTAACTGCCCTGAGAAAATAAGAACTCCACATCATTTCTAGGATAGCTGAAAAGAAGAGCCAACCTCAAAGTCTTATTCCAAGTGTTAAGGATGTAGAATAAATACAAATTTGAGAGTTAGAGAAAGAGTTGCTTCTCTGCATATCTGTCCTGTTCTGTTCTTTTTTTTTCCCCATAATTTTATTGAGAAACAAATAGCAATGAGACAGTTTCAAACCAAATTGGTAGGAGAGTTTCAATAATTAACACATTGTATACATTCTTCCTAGTGGTTAATTGCTGTACAAGATGCGGACATGATATCCTATTTACAAACACCATTAGAACAAATCCCTCTATTCATTAAGAGAATGTAACTATATATCTATCCTAACCATTTTGAATACATAGATACAAAATGGACATTAATCTGTATACCCCTTTTTTTTGTTAAATTCGATCATTTAAATATTATAGGTGTGTAAACTCAGCAAAATATTCTAAAAGAGTCCAGAGCCCATAATAGTATTGGGTCTTCTGCTTCACTGGCAGTGTCAGAAATTGTTGACCTGAGTCCCCTACAGCTCAACATAACAGCGTGGCTTTACTTCTTATACTTGTTCTGTCCTTTACGTTCCTCTTTGGTGTCTTAATCTGGGCCAAGTCTGGGCATGTTGATTTTAGGATACTATCAGTGGGTTGGTATGATTTAGTATAATACAGGTAGGGATATTTGTGCTTTTTTAAAATGTACAGCTTTCTGTGCTTGATCATATGAGAAATTGATATAATGCTCCGAGTCATACTGTTTTTCTGAAAATACATTTCATTACTTAGAATCATTTCTCTCATTTCTTCAGAGTATTATTGTGGAAGCTTGGTGGCCTCATGGACATGGAGACCAGATTTGGTATAACATGACAGTTCTTTTTGAACTGGATGGAGACATATACATTGAAAAATCTGCTAAGGTAAGTGATACTTGGAACATTTTGTGAGAAAAAAGTATATTTCTTGTTAAAATGGCAGTACAAATCTTGGAAGGAAAAGAAGCTCTGAAGTGTATGACTCTACCACTCAGAGTTATAGCATTTAAAAGCTTGTGTGTGTGTGTGTGTGTGTGTGTGTGTGTACATATTTGTATTTTTTTATTTTTATGTATGTGGCACAAGGTCTCACTATGCAGCTCGGACTTGTAGTGACCCTCCTGTTTTCAGCCTGCCCAGTGCTGGGATTACAAGTGTGTGCCACCATGCCTGGACTTGGTGGCCAGCTCAGTGAGCCCCAGGGGTGGAGCCAGCGTGACATGTGGGACTGGGAATGGAACCCTGGTCTCTGCGCTTGCCAAAGCAGGTGCTTAGTCTGCTGAGCTATTCGCTGGCCCCATATTTGTATTTTTAACTGAATTCAACTTAACATATTATTTTGTCAATAAATATTTCCTATCAGTGCTTTCTCCTTTTTTTGTTCTTTTAATGATGTTGGAGGCTGAACGCAGGGACTCCTGTATGGTCAGCCAGCACCCTACCACCAAGCCACACCCCACCTTCTGTGCTTTTAAGTTGTACATGTTTCTATTCAAGTAATACATGTGTAATAGTAAAGCTCACATATTAACTAGAAGGTTTATGGGACAAAATAGATTCTTTTGTCTACCTTTCCTTATTTCCTTTTCCCAAGAACCAAAACTTTTAACTTCAACTTATTTCTTTTGCCATTTATCTTCGTTTCTCCAAATACCAACCTCTATTAGTGTTTACCTACTAAGCCAGGACGTAGTGCCATGTGGAGAATGGGTATTCTTGGATTTTAAGAAGGGACTAACGATATTGGTGTTTAAATAAGGTTGTGTAGCTTAGATTGTATGATTGGTGTTACAGTTTTATTATATAATGTCCCCCAAAAGTCTCCTGTGTTCAGTGGTGGGGCTTTTGGAAGATGATTGGATTATCGGGGTGCTATACTTATTCAGTGGGTCCATCTATTCATGAGTGCATATCTGACTGCTGTGAGGAGGTGGGGACTGACTGAAGTAGGTGGTCACGGGTGTGATTGGAAGTATGTTCTTGTCATTACATCCTCCCTGCTCTTTCTGCTTCCTGGCTGCCATGGGGTGAGAAGTTTTTCTGCACCTTCTACCAGGTCATTTCTATCTTTGAGCCAGCCAACCATGGACTAAGCCTTTTGAAATCACGAGACAAACCCGAAGTAAACAAGACTCATGAGGTTTCAGTTGGGAAAGAGTGCTCCAATGGGAATTGGACCAGAGGCCATACATTTTACATTTGGGCAAAGAATTTGTAACATTTTGTCCATGTCCTGTGACTTGGCTGAAGGCTGAGTTTCAGAACTATGAACTCATTTGATGGAGGAAATTCAAAGCAGCCCAGTGTCCAGGATGTAGCATGAGTACTTCTGGATACTTTTAGTGAGGTTTTATTTATTTATTTATTTATTTAATTTATTTATTTTTTATTTTTTAAAAAAATTTTATTGATAAACAGATAGCAATGAGACAGTTTCAAATTAAATCAGAAGTACAGATTCAACAAATAACACACTGCATATACTCTTCTTAGTGGTTAATTGCTGCACAAGATGCGGACTTGAGATCCTATTTACAAACACCATTAGAACAAATCATTCTATTCATTAAGAGAATGCAACTATGTATCTATCCTAACCACTTTGAATACACAGATACAAAATGGACATTCATCTGTATACCCCATTTTTTCTAAGTTTTGTTATTGAATATTATAGGTGTGTAAACAGCAAAATATTCTAAAAGAGTCCAGTAGCCCATAATAGCATTGGGTCTTCTGTTTAACTGGCAATGTCAGAAATTATTGACCTGAGTCCCCCACAGCTCAACATAACAGCATGGCTTTACTTCCTATATTTCGTCTTCATACTTTTCTACTGGATGGTTAAGACCAAGGTAAAGCAGGACGTGTGCAACAAGAGTTGTAGCTTTTTGGTCTGAGAAGATCAGTGAAATCCCCTCAGGATTTATCCTGAGATCCTGTACCTCAGATTGTAGAACCTTTGTCAGTGCAGCCATGTGGATGAGTCATGGCCATTGCTTGGCCAATGTGCTCTCTGTGAAAGCCTGAGAGAGTGTTTTCTCCCCATATGACTCTCCTTAGGCACACTCTACGTCATCGATCACTTTCCTCTTTGGCCCCATAATCTTCTTGATCAGAAAATTTGGGACACTACTGAGGTACATGACGTTACAGTACAAGTTCTCATATGTCCTGAGTCTTAATTGACCTTAGAAGACTAGGGCCAAAATGTTGGCTTTCCTTGTATCCCTCCTTTTTCTCTAATTTTGGTCTGCAAACTTAGGTTGTTAACCATCCAGAAGACAAGCTTATTGTTATTATCAAATGATTTGGGCTATTAATCTTAACCTCACTATCTCACTGCATTTCAGACATCTTAGGCATAATAAGGAACAGGTATTTTTCATCAAGTATTGATATGTTGAACTTTAAGTCCCTACATAATATGATAAAAAAACATTTAAAAATTAGATTGTATTTTAAAAATAGGATAGAAAATTATATACTTCTCATGTTTGCACATAAGTCCAAAAATCTCACCATATACTTTAGTGAGTTTTATAATGAAGATCAGGGGAAAAAAACAGAGCAGGAAAATTAGAAGACCTTAAGTTTTGGCCAGAAAAGAAACACATGTAAAGTTGTAGTGAAAGAGCTGTGGTTGCTGAAGAGATTGGTACCATTAAAAGAAACCAAGTCCTTTGTGCAGGGACAAGAAGATTGAGGACACCTCAGAAATCAGCAAGACCCCACCCACTGCAAGCTCTGTGGTGTAAAAGTATAAAAGCTTTCTTTGATGTGTGGAGAGAGCTCCTGATAACTCTGCTTAAGAAGGGCTTCCTGGGGAATTGTTTCCTTGGGATTCATTTCACAGGACACAGCTGTCAGTGTACTCAGGGGTTGCTATAGCCATAGTCGGAGGGGCCCAGTCTAGTGCTTGTGTTGGCAAAGGACTGACATTATCCATGCGATCTTGGTTTTACCAGAATTTAAAGGAAGGCCTGGGATACCAGCAAAGGAGAGACTTTGCCTTAGTCAAGGTTTGTTGTTCTTAGAGCGAGTTGCTGAGGAACAGCATTCCAGAGTGTAGTTGCAGTGGGAACTTTGAAATAATGTTTGCTTATTTGTTTATTTGACCGGAGGTGTAGATTGAATTGAATGATGTCTTCTGCCTCCATACAAGTCTAAAATTGCCCATTGATGGAAACCTGAATAATATAAGAATTTGACATCTCTGTAAGTTTCAGAATCAATGTGTGGTTTTGCAGTTAAGATAGGAAGTATAGGTCAATGCCAAATTTGCCAAGAAAGAGGTGATATCAAGCTCAACTTCTTTTCTATCCAGGGTGGTTCTTCCAGGGAATTTTAACTGCTAATCCATCCTTAACTGCCAGATTATTCCCAATGATTTCAGATTTGCTGAGTTACAGCCAGCAGTTGTCCAAATCCTTGCCATCAGCATCTGCTTCCTGGCTGGTGTCCCTTAGTCTTATTTCTTTTAGCTGTTTTCTAGTGGAAGTGTGCCAGACTAGAATTCCTTTTTATGCTGTACTGATTGTGAAATATAAGACACATACACAGAAGGAAAACAGAACATAAGTGTTATGGTTTGTGTCTAGATGTCCAGTCTTGGGTGCGGGCTTTTAGAGTTTGTGAATAATGGTCCAATGCTGGCATTATAGATGTGAGTGCTACACCCACCCTCATGTGGGTAGCTTACATACCATATAAGGGGCAGAAAGAGACCTCTCTCATGCTTTTCCCTTTTTGTTTTTGGCGGAACCAGGGATTGAACTCAGGCCCTTGTGCTTGCCAAAGAAGCACTTATTCTACTGAGCCATCTCCCCAGCCCCTGCTTTTCCCTTTTTGCTATTGTTGCTTTTGTTGTCTTCTGTTCCTATGAACTGTTGCCCTGGTCCCATGCCTACCTGCCTTAGAACCAACTTATTATGCACTGAAACCTCCACAAACTGTGAGCTAAATAAACCTTTCCTTCCTTAATTTTGGGCTTTGGATATTTTGTCTCAGCAACAAGAGAAAACTGACTAAAACAGAATTTGGAACCATGGGAATGGGATCATTGCTGTGACTACACATGACTGTGTGGTTCAAGAACTGTTGGGAATACTTGTGGGGAGGGTTTCAAAAGGTTCTGAGAAAAAAAAAAAAAAGAGGTTCTGAGATGTCGCCTCAAAGAGTAGCACTGGAACACTTTAGATTATTCAGTAGGGGAGATTTAGGTCAGAGCTGAGAAGACCAGAAGGCTGATAGAAATCCTGCTGGTAAACTCGGGAGGTTTCTGCTGGGAAAAAGCACTGCATTGGCTGTTGGATTCCAGACTGCATATGCTATGGGTTAGCAAAAAGTTTGTCTGCATTTTGCTCATGTCCAGAGATTTTGCTTGAGACTAGGATTAAGGGTGGCAGACTAATTAATTTGGCAGAAGAAATTTCAAGGCAGTTGAATGTTGAGGTGTGGTATGGCTATTGTTGGAGTTTAGCCAGATCTATGCAGTTATCCAGATCCATGTTGAGAATGAAGAGCAAAGAGCCCAGCAGAATGATTTAAAATGTTGAGTTTGCCCAGAAGGAAAGCTCCAGTAAAGCTGTGGACTACAAAGATAGAGGGAGGCGATCTGGATTGCTGCAAAGGATAGGGACAATAGAAAAGGTGGCCTGAGGGCATCGCAGGAAGCAGTAAGTCTCCACCCTTTGCAGCCTCCAGATTCCAAAAGTGAAAGACCTTGGTCTAAAAAGAAAGCTGCAGAGTGACATATTCCAAAATGGCAGCAGCTGCATCAAGTTCCAGAATGGATGCACATAGAAAATTTATTTTTCAGAACTGGATTCAGAATGCTCAGCAATCATCCAGGCACTCAACCCTGATAGCCAAAAAAGAGGAAA